CCTTGACTACCAGAACGATCCCAAATACTTAAAATCTAGTAAAATAAATTACAATAATATTTTAATAAAATTTATTTAATTTTAGATTATATTTCTGTAATTTAAATACTTTTGTTTTTACTTAGAATTTAAAATAGAAATAATCAAACACCAAATGGAAAGTAATTCCAACTGAATTTTAAAGGAAAAATATAAATTATATATATATATGATTATTAATGTACTAATCTTAATCTTTGTTAGTAACCTTCACTCATCAATGATTTTCTTGACAATGAAGATATTTGTCACATGGAATTGAAAACAAGCATTCCTAACCTAAATCTTATAGAAAATGTGTGGGATAATCTTGTTCAAGAATGAACTTTCCTTCCAATGGAGCTCATAAACAACACTATAATCTGCACGAGCAATTATTGTGTTATGTATGTACGTGTAAAAGGCAACTACATGCCTTATTAATCATTTTCTGTGTAAAAAATCAAGATTAAATTTTCACTTTTCAATTATTTTCTTACATAAGGAATACAATGGTTTGCATGCCAGATTGTAAACTTGCGTCCTGCTTCCGATATTGATACCTGTACTTTCAGTTTCTAATACAGATTTTTATTTGGGAAGAGCCATCCATGGTAATATGTGGTATTATTCTTAATTAAATTTAATAATAATAATAATTCAGTCTGAAATCCCAAAATCTAGATAGGCTAGGATATTTTATTAAATAAAATTAAACATAATGTAATAATTATATATCCAATGTAGATTTTAGGATTTCAAACAAAATTATAAATACATTCGAGTCTGCACAAGTCGACATCCCAAGGGGAAGTGGAAATGTGTAGAGTTATCCAATATGATGACTAAAATGAAGTTGAAGAAACCCACAAAACTACAATTAGGAAAATACAGCAATGCTTTATACACACTGTATTTATATGTATCTCTCTGACCACACCTCAGCGATTTCCATCACTTTTTATTTCAGTATCAGTCCTGAAACAGGAAGATTTGATGAATGAATTTGCTTTAGCCAACACACCAGAGCATCTTCGACTGTATCAATATCTGAAGCAGAATGCAAGTTTACAATCTGGTAAACAAGGAATAATGTCTTAAATTCTGCTGCAGATTGGCAGAGTTTGTTGAGACAATTTTGAATAGAGCTATTTTAAAATACAATTTAATTGTACTGAAAATATATTAATATTGAATAAAATAATTATCATTTAATAAAAAAGAAACAGGTAAAGGAGTCTTGTAAAGTGAATTATTACAAACAGAAGGTATACAGCATCTATATTCACAGCACAATTAGAGAAACAGTGGATGGGACTCACATTGACACTGACTTTTATCTACCCAGAGATCATCCTCTAGATATCCAATGGAGGGAATGTTTGGTAGATTTCAGATCAGCAAAGACCATGACTGAGGTTTGATCTAGGCTTGTCTGCACAGTAATCCAGTATTGAGTCCAGTACTTTGTAATAATAGTTTTAAAAAATAAATATGCTCAAACTATAAACATAGTGCATACTCTGTAAATCAATGATTCTACAACAGATACCATCCAGGGCATATTTTTTCTTTGGGTTTCAGTTTATTTCTTTCAATATGTGCATGAATTATACACTATTATTTATACTTTGGATCTTATTTATAATAATAGTCATTCAGTTATTTACAAAAACATACCTTTTTATCATTGTTTGTAGTTTTCACTAATATACGAAGATTACCAATTTTTTCTAAATTTCTATGATACATATGATACCAGAAATTAATAGTACAAGAAATTGCTGATTTGGTATAAACTTTAGAATGGAGCTGTGCCACATCTGTTGGTTTTGAAAAACTTCCTTCTCCAGGATATATAAAGTGTCCTAAAAATGAATCAGTATTATGTAAAATTAAAAGAAAACATAAATATTTAAAAATTATTCTTCTTTTAATATATTTATAATGGTTAATTTATCAAATGAAGAACTGAAAATAAACAATGGTAAAACTTCTTCAAAATATTCCATAAAAAATTTAAATAAATTATAAATCAGTTATTTCAGATGTTTCAGACAATTTTTTCAGTTTGTACGGTAACTTATCACGATGAAAAAACTTCATGTTATGAGTAAGACTTTATTAACTTAACTAATCCCGGTAAGATGTTGGTGTTACTACATTGTGCTTTTGTTAAAATATGGTACACAGGGAGGGACGGAGATCGAAAACAAATATATGTATATATTTGTTTGTTTTTCGTTTATTTCCTGGTTCATCTTTTACATTTCTCCTTTCCATACCATCGGTCAGTGTACCCTGGATGTGTGGTTAGTTACTATAAAAATGGCATGGCAGGGGGCAACATCTGGATTGGTCGGGTGTCATTTCTGGAGAACAAAAAGGATACGATGAAAAGAAAAATCTCCTCTTTTTTTCAGTGGAGTTCATCCTGGTGTGGTGTAGTGTAATGTGTGTATTTGCGGGAGGAAGAAGCCAGACGACAAGCCTAGGCAGTTGTGGAGATTGCACATATGGTCCAGCTCCCAACTCTGCCAATCTACTTTCATTGGGAGTTGTGCCAGGTACGGATGATAAATGTTAATCAAAACTTCAAAATCGATGATAAAACTGAAGATCTGGAAGATTAGTTTCTCAATTGGAGACAATTATTTTGATCAAGAATGATCATCTCACATATAAGGCTTCTGTTATGTTGTACAGTACATCTATGTGCAGCCACATGTTCGTATATTTGTGATAAAATTTTCATTGTATATATATGTATATATCTAGCTATATTTAAGTATAATAGAAGTGTGTATAAACTGTTTATTTGTGTCTCCCCCATTTCGTTCATGTTGGGAACTACAGATGTTCTAGCACATAAAGAACAATCACTTCAACACAATTTATATATAAGAATTTAAGTATATCATTTAAATCTCTAGATTTCTGTTGATTTTTGGCCTGTCTACACATCTATTTTCAGGGATATAACTAGAATAGTATATGACTGGTCTTTGTCACAATCTCCCAATGCTTGAAATTTGTTGGCAAAGCTTTAGTAATCTAATAACTGTCATCATTTAACTGAAAATATCTTTTAAAATAAATAATTGCTAGATTTTTAATTTATATAGTTTTTATAAATGAATTTGGGAATATAATTGTTTAATTTTGCTTCAATAAAACAGTTTTATTTTATTTTATAAATGATAAACAAATGATAATTTTTTTGTATTTTTAAATGGTCATTATAACAAAGTAGCTAAAAAAGATTTTTTAATTTCATTTTCTTTGTTTTTAACTTAACAATTAATTAACTAAAATACGATAAAATATAAAATATTGTACCCGAATCATTTCTAAAGGTATGATCAACATTAGGACCACTAATGCGTGACTGTATATCACTCGGCGTTGCAATAATCCATTGTGCTGAATATCCTTTGGGATTATACCATCCACATGTACCATCTTCAAAATCGCAATCAGTTCCTGTAGAATAATATATAAGCAATTTTCTATAAATAACAATAAATTATATCAGTATAAATATTTAGAAAATGTTCTGAATTCAAAGTATTGAATTATAGATTAATTTAGTTAATAGTTTTAGTAAATAGCACTAAAAATATATCCAAATTAGTATATACAATTCAAATATTTATATATAGTTTGGCATTTATTTAGAAATGCTCCATAGAAAGTTTTCTCAAAATATTTATTTATTTAACTTCTTAATATAAATATTCCTAAATATTTGACTTGACAGCCAAATGATTGAGACAGTTAAGGCATTAGCCTGTCACTTCGGGAGACCCGGGATCAAATTTGGGTGAGCAAAATCCCAGGAATTTTTCACAAATGGTCTGTCCTAGATATGCTGAGCCACCTTTGCCCTGGCCAAACCCACAAAGGCTGTGGAAAAAACAGGTCTATGGAGTGCCTGCAAGATTCTACATCAATTCAAATAATTTTTGAATTGATGTCTAGATCCTGTAGTCACATATAACTTGAACCCGACAATGGCTAATTAAGCAATCCAAAAACATTTTTTTATCCAAAATCAAATACTAAATTATAATGGTTTCTTTTTATGTCTCTAATTCTAAATATACTTCTTAAATACTGTTTTTTATATTATAGAAAGAACATAAAGTATTATTTTTTCTTCAGATAATTTTGTTATAATAAAAATATCTAATTAACAAATTTCTTAAATTTATATTTATAAAACCAAAAGTCAGTTAACTGAAATATATTTTAAGAATGGTTAAACAGGTGCGTACTATTATTCATGATTCAGTTATTTCCAATGAAACAATTTAATCACAAATATCAATTTGCAGATATTCCAAATCATTTTTAATTATTATTAAAATAATCTAACAGTATATCTATGTTAACTGACTTTTAGACCTGTGGCTGTACGCCATGTATTTGTATATAGTTTATATTTTATTTTTATTAGTTTTATTTTTCCTTCCACGTTCTTCTCTTTCCCCTTTTTCCTTTTCTTTGTTCTATTGTCTATCCTCTATGATTCTCTCTCCCCAAAATTCCTTTCCTTATATGGCTATCGTGAACATCCGAAAACAAAGAGAAGGGTGCGCAACCCCAGAGGACACGAAGAGTGAGGGAAGGGGAAGAAGTAATTCAGACTCGAGTGAGTAAGGAAGTGAGTGGAACATTGGGTGCATTTTGGCAGCATATGTGAGACAAAGAGAGTATCTCGGAGACAGACAAAGAAATATCTGTGGTAGACTCAAGTAAATTAAGAGTGAATTATTGCATCTTAACTGTTGACAGTCGTGTGACTCGAAGAAAAAAAAGGAAATCCTTCCTACTTTTCGTAAGACCCTCACTAAGAACATTTTGAAGAAAACGATCTTTGAAGGTCTCACAGACTAGCATTGGGTACCCCTTTTCTGATTTCTAACTTTCCTTTACCTATCCCCTATCTTCTTAATATTAGTTTATTTATTATTATAATATTCTTAATATCCCTATCTTAATTTAATATTAGTTTTAAGTCTTATTTGTTATTAGTGTTTAAGATAGTTTTAGATTTTCGTGCGATGATTTTTAATAACAGTTCTTTATGTCGTGTACTACAATTTGGGATTTTGTTTGTGTAACATTGTTCGCGAATCTGATTGTTTCTAACTGTCGGGACATGAAATTAGCACTAGCATCCTAAAAAAGCCTGTATTTAAGTTTCTAGCCTTAATTAAAGTTTTCCTTTTTTTGTACCTTGGTTCCACGTGTCTTCCTTAAAGAAGAAAACAATACTTTCACAACTGTATTTTATCATTATCATCTAAAATCTACTAATAATCGATTTTATAAAATCTACTTATATCATTTAAATGGCTGTTTCTAAGAATTTAGAAAGTATGCTTAATAATTTTTATGACGACGACAATAATCTTCATTGGAGTTCACTTTAATAACAGTTTTTCTCAAAAAACTTTTTCACGGTCATATTTTGGTCCTAGTGATTACTAATGTCGTATGAATTGATAGAAAGAGTTCTTAAAGAAAATTTTCAAATTATTAATATAGGAGTAATGTTTGCAATTAGTCTTATATTAATACTTTCCAAGTCAAAAATAGGTTTTAAATAAGCAAAAAAATGTTATTTTTAATAAAGGAATAGTAGTTTATAGGAAACAAACATATTGGTCTATATATATTCCTATACTTTAAAATAATCTGATATATAAATTAGCATATTTACATCTTTGATAAAACAAAGGTACTGCAATATGCTCGAATTGAGAACAACTGGAAATGAATACAGAGTTAATAACAAACCTTCCCTATATTTCATAAGTTGCAAAAGAGCAGTTTGGTTATGTAGCAAGAAAAAAATTATACAATAGGACCTAAAATGTTATTAAAAATTAATTTATGATTGTTGAATGCCCATTCTAAAATATCAGTTTAATTCAATACTTTTAAAATGTTAAAACTACTAATTTTATAATTATTTTTTTATATTATTTTATAATTGAAGATTTACATCACTTACCACAGTCTGCTTCATCGGTTCCATCTCCACAATCATCAGCAAAATTACACCGCTGTTCTCGAGCGTAACAGTTTCCATTTTGACATTGAAATTTATCAGGACCGCAATCAGTATACGGTGGAGGAGTGCCAATTGGTTCACCGGGCAAATTATCTGAGATGAATAAGAATTTTTAAGAAATCTCTAATTAATATTTTATACATATTTCAAACTCTGCAAGCCTGGAATATAACTTACAAAATAGCAATGAATTGAACCCTAAAAGAAATTCCAGGATAATTTTGGAGATTTAAATTTGATTTAAATTATTTTAAAAATGCTCGTTTATACGTTTTTTTCAATAATTCTTAAAAAATGTTCCATTTACACATTCCAATTTAAAGAATCCCGAGGAAGATCTCCTTTGAAGATCAAAAACGTTAGAATTTGCAATATATTATCCTGGAATTTCTTTTAAGGTTCAATTCGTTGCTATTTTAATTTGTTTTCTGACAGATTGGAGCTTTCTTAATTAAGAAATTGTGCCACAAATAATGAATAAAGTTAAAAATTTGTTTTATTAGTGTTCACCAATTCACATTGAGAATTGGTTTTTTGAATACTTTCAACCAACCAAGCCTAAACTATTTGAGAAATTGATTTTTGGTATAAATTGGTAAACTCCAATAAAGTTTTAAGTTTAATACAACAAATATTTATAAAAAGTACAATTTTTCAATAAAGATTTTTCTTCTAAAGAACTAAAGAAACATCTAAAACAGGAATATAAATGCTTTGAAATTAAAATTTTGGATATGTGAAATCAAACCTTGATTTAGTGCCAGCGAATGTCTGTGAATAGATATTTACCATAAATATTAAATAAAAAATCCTTCAGTTTCTGTGAATTACTAGATAATATCATTTTCAATGCAAAAATAACTATCATCATCAAATCATTCAACTTTCAAATAGACAATAAGATGTAAAATTTGTGTATGTAAAGTGTCATAAAAGAAGTGTTACCGGTTCATTTTGCTGCCATTTTTTTTCTGTTGAAGTTACATTAGTTTTCATTTGACAGTTGTGTAGGATGGGCCATTTGATGTCTCAACATGTTATTTATAAGAAATGTTTCCTGAACAAATTGTCAAAAGGTGTTGACATTAATTAGCCTCTTTATTCTTCTGATTTAACAACTCCAGATTTTTTTCTTTGGAGTATTTAAAAGGAAAGATCAATATTCATCAAGTTCAACAAAAAAACACAAGAAATTTAAAAATGTTATGAAAAATGTTGTTGAAAGAGTTCAAATTTGTATAGCAACTAGAAAATTTGACTGATATTATATTCCACACACAACTGAAAAATTAAATAAATTATTGATAAAAAGAATTTGTATATAGTACATATTTATTGTTACTAGAGTGTTGTATATGTTGTCATGTGGAAACATTCAAATTCATCAGTTTCTCTCATTGTTTGATTTAAAAATTAGTTAAAAACAATGGTAACACTTCTTTTTTGACATCCTGTATATAAGAATAAGAAGTATTATGATTTATCAAAATGACTGCTTATTTCGGCATAATCGTATGAAATCGGATCCAGATTTAGATGTCAGATATCATTAGTATAGAATTAATAACAAATATGATCAAGTTCACAGGTATGATACAGTACTGATTTGAGGTGGAGAGAACATATTTTAAATTAAATTAAAATACAGTAAATAATTGCTCGTTTACTGTAATATAATGCCATTCATCTTCTACTTCTGTTGTTATCAGTATTATTCTCAATAACTTTTATTTTTTGTATTATTATCACTACTGCCTTCAATATCATAATTACTTTCAATTTTCTCTGCTGTAGTACTATTTAAACTGTCTATATAGTTCATTCTTTTCTTCCATGTATTATTAATTAATTAATTTAATTATTAAATTTGATATGAGGTGACAGTATCATCTACTATATCCAAATTACAGTACTAATCAATTCAAAAATTGGAGAATTATAGCTAAAAAATGTTAGTTTATATCAATTTTGAGTTATTTATACATTAAATATATGATTAACATTATAGTAATAAATATTTTTGTATGATTTAATAAAATATTTATACCTTCAGATTTTTGACAAGAACGGGATATTGATAAATCGTCTAAACCAACACTTCCAATTCCAGAGCCAAGATTTCCCTCAAAGACTACCTAAATAAATAGAAATTGATTAATAACTTAATGAATGAATAATTCATTAACAGGGTAATAAGAAACAATATGTGTTTATAAATTCTGAACCTTTTCCAGCTAGTGGGATATTTTCATAATTTCATATTTTTGATGGTACACTGACATTTCTAGAACTGTACTAAATTGGATGTTGCATATGTAAATGTGAATGAAATGTGACATTAATTTTTGAACATTTTTTTTTTTAATATTAAAAAGTACTATAGAAAAACAATAGAGAGGTTGCAGCCGAAGTTTTCATCTCTCAAATATGAACACTGAACGCCGCAATCTTGTAAGCGGTGCTCGACATTCGACGTTCACGTCTGAGAGATGAAAACTTCCGCCGCAACCTCTCTAATATGTATTTTTAGATTTGTTTTTGAAATTTTTGTGATTTCCCAGTATGCTATTCAACAATTTCAACTTTCTATATAAATATTTTTTGATCCTAGAGTAATCACTAATATCTTTGATTTTGTTTTTGATTATTGTATTTTGACAATAAAGAATAAATATTTACTAATTAAAAATTTCTTATTTTTTATTACGACTTGTATAATTTAAAACAAAAATAATTAATTAGTGTCATTCTTACATTATACATTCTTACCTTATAGTTGTTTTCTTGATCTGTTAACTTAATTTCACTACTTTCCCATATCTTTGTATTCTCTTTGTAGGAAGAAAGTAATTTTAAGCCAGTTTCGGAGTAACTGTTACGACGATATACGTTAAGAGAATTATTTTGTCCAATAAGATTAAACCAAAATTTCACCTAATAAAATAATAAATTTTATAAATTACTACTATTCTACATATATACAACATAATCATCATAAATTGTTTCTATGTTCTTAATCACTTAATTAATTAACTGCTAACAGCTAAAGTTCTTTATTTTAAATTTTACAAATAAAAATGATCTTCAAGTCTTTTGTCACATTGGTTCAACAAAATTCTGTAGAAATGAGACAAATGTCTTGAAAACCTTTTCGTTTGAAAATATTAAAATATTTCAGTTGATAAATTATATATGTAACAATAACAATTATAATATTAAATCTTTAATAATTGTATCATGCATATAAACAGTGTGCCCATAAGTAAACTCTAAAGTTCACTTATTTTGATAATTCAGCAGAAAAATTATAATAGAAATATTTATTTTAATAGAGTATAAAAACTTTAAAAAGCAAATTCAAATAAATATTTTTAGATTATCATTCATCTTCAAGAAACTCTTATAATATGCAGTATGATTACTGTATAAATGTGCAAAATAAAATTCTCGTTAGTTAGTTTCACATTACTGATGATATATAAAATTTCGTATCACTTCAGAGTGATTATTCAAGAATGATTTATATACTTCAAGTAAAATGGCAGGAAAAACTCTAACTCGTTCATAAACTGGTTTACTAAATTAAAAACTCTAATAACCAGTTAAATGTATATATTTTAATTAAAGCTGGGCAAATACTATCTAAAAATATTTGTGAAAGTATTCTAGACTTGATATCTCAAATATTACATTAATAAGAAATAAATTTGAATACCTTTCCATATATCATCTATGATTAATGCAGAACAAAATGGCTACATTCTATGTAGCCGTTTTGTTCTGCATTGTGCGCCTGATGGTATCTGTTTTAAATGGATGAAAATGTTAGTAAATATTTCTTTATTTATTAATTTCATATTTGCTGGTATTGGTAAATTTGAATACTTTGCATACATCCAATGTTGCATCATATGTACAATCACAGTGTCAGAAGTACCCAAAGGGAAAGGCTAACTCAAAAATTAATAAAAGGTATTTATTAATTATTCAAATATTTTTTAACATGTGCTTGACAACTGTATTATGGATGATCCAATAAACCATATTTACCATCATGAATGTTTTTGACAGCAGTGTTTTGAAGTTTGAATACAGTAGAACCTCGATTATCCGCCCTAATTGGGGACTGGGGCTGGTCGGATAATTGAAAAGTCGGATAACCGAAAAGTATGAAAAAATCCATTATTAGTGTAGTATATTATTATATCCCATGTAATTAGTATATTAGTATATCGCTATTAACCTATTTTGCGTTGAATTTTCATCGATGTTAAGCCTAACAAAAATTTTTTAAAATAATAATCGTCGCTATTGTATCGTTAAAAATGAGAAAACTAAACTTTGTTTAAATACTGGCTCCCTTTCATGGTCGAATGAGTGTTGCCAGCTAAAACACGTAAAAATAATATTAAAGTAGCCAAGACATAGCCAAATATTGTAGCGGACATTTGAAATTTGCCGACTAGGACGGTCGGTTAACCGAGGGGTTGGTTGATCAGGGGGCGGTAATCGAGGTTCTACTGTATATAAATTTTAAATTTTTTGTATGTCAATGGTATTGTATATGCCACTGCATGCAGAAGGTGTTCTTACACACTTCTGGTTTAATTTACAAGAAAAAAAAGCAGACTAGACCTTGTATGTTTTCAAATTCTTGTTTTCTTAAATAAAAATCTGGAATAAGTGAGAGTGAGAATTATTTATTAATCTATTGTAGTTGAAATAAGAGTACCTAGAAAAAGCTACTTTAAAGCTACTCTAGTTGAATATTATTAATAGTTTTATATCTTCTTTCATTTGAGAGGTGTGTTATAGATCTTATTTTGTTAATACCAAATGATACTGTAATGCATTGGGCTATTTATCAGCTACATCCTTAATTAAATTTTAAGTAATTTACGCTAGGTAGACGTTAGGTGCCATCTCTTATTAAATTTAATACAAGCCGTGAGTAACCGCGGATGGTTATATCTAACGTCCAATATGTCTGGAAGTGAAGAATCACTCAGAGGTCTGGGTAGCAATTCTACAGAAGAAATTGGTAAGAAATTGGTAAGAAAGAGTTGCAACTTTGAGTCCCACTCTAGGCCAATTCTTTTCTTCTAACATATTCTAAATTATTTATTAAAAATTAATTTATTCTAATCATTAAATTTAATAAGAGATGGCATGTAACGTCTACTTCTAGTAATAAATTATTTAAAATTTAATTAATGATGTAGTCAATAAATAGTTTGATGCATTAAGGTATCATTTGGCATTAACTAATAACATCTGGTATCGAGATGTTTATATGTGATCTGTTTTGTCTAACCGTCTTTTTTTGTGGCTCTTTTCAAGGTCAGATTCTTCTATTGTTTAGGTGTAGACGAATTTCGGCAGCCAGTCTAGGTGCCTCCTTTCAATGTAACTCAGCACACTAATGGCTTTGAGGGGCTTTAAAATTTGTGTTATATATGTGACACTGTATAGTTGATGTATTTCTGTGAGATGTGGACAACAACAAACTAAGAAAATGAAAATAGCTATAGAATTTTGAAAACTTAAGTCTAAAAATAATTTTTGATCCAATCTAGAGTAACGAACAACTAAAAAAAGTATATTTATCCGAAATTTTACACTCAAAAAGTAGGAAAAATAGGATAAATGGGAGTGCCATATTTCTAGTTATGGTCTGTGAGATTACGCAATGGTTTAAATGTAAGTTATAGCATAACGGCGATTAATTAAGGATTTACTTTATAATAGTTTTTTGACCTTTGTGAATAAAACCCGATTTTAATTTTTTCACATACAATAAGATATCAAAAGCGCTCAGCAACTAACTAAAGATAAACAAAACACCTTTTTTGCCGTTTACCTTTTACGGCAAAAAAGGTGTTTTGTTTATCTTTACAATAAGATATACTATTATTTTCATTATAAAATCATGTTATTTGAAAATTGTGTGAAATCCAGTTTGATTTTCACTGCTAAATTCTGTAGCAGCAAGCAGTAAAAGAATAATATACTTGCCATTGTAACATCATTTTGGGAAAGACTTATTTATGAGCAAGATGAGTTAGACTTTTACTGCGACTATGAATGACAAAAATAGAATTTAATCAATAGGAAGACAATTTATGTCATCCTGTAAAAGAACAATGGAATTTAAATTATGGGTAATCATTGTGATGGATTTTAATAACCTATAAATTTGATTCAAAATGAAATTAAATCGTGGTAGAATTGAAAAATGTTGGACAAAACATTATTCTTTCATAATAATAATAATAATAATTTTTACTAACAATTTTTGTGATTTAGAATGCCAAAACATTTTCACAATAACAAAGCTGGATGGTAGTATCCTAAATTCTATCATAATGTGTTTCAAACACCCTTTCCCAATATTGATAAATGTAGCATGTTTTTATGATGAATGATTATTGTCAATATGATTTACATATATATATTGATAGATTCAATCAATTTACAATATAGTATAATACAAATACATAATATATGGTATATAATTTAATACAAATAAATGTAGTAAATTATGCAGTATTTGATATTGAAATTATATAAAGCCAAATTAAAAACGCCATGTTTAAAATTTAAATAATTTATTCTTTTTAAAACTAAAATTATTACTTTTGTAATATAATTTAATTATAAAGTGTCTAAGTATAAAATTATTAATTCCAAAACCATCTTAATCAATCAAATTGCATGTACTGTACTTAATTTCAGTGAGAATGGCAATGAACTAGTTTAATGAAATCAAAATTAAAAATGAATCATACCATTAAATTATATTTTTCCATTATTATTATAATGATAATTTCAATTTGAATGTTATTAGTACCTTAATAAATTTAAATTTGTCTTTTTAATGCTATATTCCTTATTTAATGACCAATAAATGATGGGAATAAACAACAGGAATAGTAGGGGAAGTATTCAAAAGTTATCTGCTTAAGGGAGTGTCCAATAACATTAATTAGAAGCCTGTTTTGATGCATAGAAAATGAATGGAGGAACTAAAGGTAAGGCACACATACATGTTCCAGGAGAAATCACAATGGCAGACAAATGTCTGCTGCATATAAAGAATTTTTCATGTTTTCTAAATATGCTCTTGTTGATTTCAGACAAAGGAAAAGATCTTTTGTGTGTTGTAAGTTTAAACTGACAGATTATCTACATCATCACTGTAACCCACATATACTATCAAATTGTTGTTTAAATACAAATACCTTCATGAAATTTCAGAACTATTAAAGCTTATAAGCATTTGAATTTTAAGTTTAATTTATACATATTTGAATTATTGTACATTAATATAATCTGAAGACAGCTTTTAAAAAGTCAAAAACATAGTTTTTCTGCTGTAATCTGCCCATGTATTTTGAAAATAGTTTCAAAGTGCAGTTATCAATTAAAAAATAACTGAAGCAAGCAAATTGTTTAAACAATCAAAAATAAAAAACTTAAGTAGTGGAATATATTACAGATTTACTTACAAAGCAATTATTTCCAGATGAGCCTTTTATAACATAAGATGCAAGACGAGCCTTCCCTACTTCTGGAGATGAATATTCCTTTTCAATTGCAAGATAACTTCCTATAATTGTGAAATGTTAACAATTATTAATTTACTCAAATCATTAATTTCAATTAGTGATTTCAATCAAGCAATCATTTAGTGTTGAACTGTACAATTATCTACAGATATACAGTTGTTGTTGTACTGGCAAATTTTTTATATAATATCATATACAATAGACCCCCCTATAACATGGTAGATACGTTCTGTGTTCTATGAATTCCATGTTGTACGAGTCACTTAAATACATGAGCCAATCACAGTCCGGCACGCATGCAGTTTAGGGACTACGGCTGTTTGAAAGGTTTTCTTCCATAAAACTAATCAATTCTAGACTAATTTGACTCAACATTTCCAAAACACGTATAATTTTTTGGGAACAATCCATATAAGCTATGCTGTAAACAAAAAATTGTAGGATTACTTATTGAGTGTGCACCGTTCGACGACGGCATTGCTTAAGCTTGTTTTTGTCGTGGAGCGGTGCATCGAACGGCGGGTGGGTGCGTTTCCTGATAAATTATTTTTCTGCAAAAAATTTGCTGAACTTTGGAGACATCATTAATATAAATATAAATTTTATGGCCGTTAAATAATAAATGGTTTTTAGTAGGTCCGCTGCTCGTTTAAACTCAACGGTTTGTGCAATATCTGCTATTCGACCAATCCTGTCGCAACGAGTTGGTGATGACATTTTACCGTATTATACGAGTCTCTTTTAGCGTGTTTATACAAATATGATCGCAATTTTTTTTTCTGTTTTATACGAATCCATATTATACGAACCCGTGTTACAGGGGAGTCTACTGTTTCTGAATATATCTTTTAAATATTTTAAAATTCATACTGATTCTAAAACCAAATTTGAAAACTGAGTTTTAAGTAATCCTTTAAAGTATTTCAGTTATGATCAACTATGTGAATTCTAATTTTTTAAAAAGTATTTATTACAATAATTTGACATTCTAGTTTACTTATGCCTTAAATTAAGATGTTAATTACTCAAAATTTAGTAGAATCACCAATGATGAGTACTGCCAGTGTCAGTTGCCTTGTCTCCTCACTCGTTGAGCTGGCCTTGAGTATTGTATTTATTCTAATAAACAGTATGTTGTTCATAACTTTTTTCAGCTTGCAACTATGCTGTTTATTAGAAGTAACTGTTATTTCTATTCTTTGGAAATTGGGCACAACTATTATTTGAGAATGACTATTAATGGAATAAATGTGGTAAATTTTCTCACTATTATTATTTGAGCTTGTTGCTCAACACACTCAATTTTAATACAGAAATATATTNATTTCAGTTATGATCAACTATGTGAATTCTAATTTTTTAAAAAGTATTTATTACAATAATTTGACATTCTACTTTACTTATGCCTTAAATTAAGATGTTAATTACTCAAAATTTAGTAGAATCACCAATGATGAGTACTGCCAGTGTCAGTTGCCTTGTCTCCTCACTCGTTGAGCTGGCCTTGAGTATTGTATTTATTCTAATAAACAGTATGTTGTTCATAACTTTTTTCAGCTTGCAACTATGCTGTTTATTAGAAGTAACTGTTATTTCTATTCTTTGGAAATTGGGCATAACTATTATTTGAGAATGACTATTAATGGAATAAATGTGGTAAATTTTCTCACTATTATTATTTGAGCTTGTTGCTCAACACACTCAATTTTAATACAGAAATATATTATAATAGCATTTAAATTATAATTAATTTTGTAAATTAATAATTAAAAATTTAACTCATGTTTATAATAAAAAAATATTACCTTGTCCCACTTTAGTGTGGTCAGTTTTTGGCAGAAAAGCAGACACATAATCATTTTGTTTAAATAATTTCCAATATTTGTTAGTCCCAGCTTCTACTTCCCATGTACTGCAAATATCTTTTTCAAACGAACATCTTTCGTAAAAATCTTCACAGAAAGCATCCGATTCATCACTGCCATCAGTGCAATCATTTGAAAAATCGCATACTAATGAATTCTGTATACATTCTTTATTATTACATGTAAACATATCTTCATCACATTGTGTTTTATCCTTTTTTATAGCAGCAGGAGGTTCACATTGATCAAAGGAAGGTTCGTCAATGGCTATTGAAGTATCGTATACTTTCGTTGCTTGAATTTCCATTTTTGATTTAACTGCATTGCTTAAATAAATATTAGCTTGACGCCACTGACTTGCCGGTTTTAAGCTTTCACCTAAAGCAATTCAAAATTAAAATAATAGATTAGACTTATTGTAAAAGATTTAATTTCAAAAAATTAACAATATTTACTTGTATAATATATAATATTATATAAACATTATTGAAGGAATGTTGCCATTTTTTTGATGTATGATTCTGAGATATAGTAACATTTATTTTTTCTTTATTTGTTTTCACATCTGTTTAATAAAATTTGAAATATTTTCAAGGAAAATTTCTGCAATAATTTTAAAAAATTCCTTCTACTTCATAATCCATCTTTTTGAATATTTTAATGCGAACAGATATAATGTTAATAATAAACGACGCTTTTAGCCCATGACTTTAATTTAGATAGAGTTTAGATGGCGTGATAAATAGGATTTAACAATTTGGAGGGCTTATCACAGCAAGGCCAACAGAAAAAAAGACCAGATCTTTTACAAAAAAGTTAGTCTTTAATAATCATCTTCAAATTTAGGTAAAGATGCATTTCGGGTACAAGAACCCCTCATCAGCTTACAAACACATAGCACCAAGATATAATCATAACGCTAATAGTTAACAAATACAAAGGAATTTTTCATATATATATAGTGCACTGTATTTACAATTTTTAATATAACCCATCGACCAATAAAATGTGCACATAACCGACAAACAAATTCTTTATTCTAACAACACGATAACACAGTGGGATAATTACTACAGCTCAATTTATACAATATAACCAAATTTACGACTTAAAACTAAGATTTACAAATCTATATACACACTTCTCTTTCCTCATTTACATTTAATGTACACAGTAGCCCTGAGTGGTCCACGATAATATGTTGGTTGTGAATATAACATAGACACGTGTGTACGACCATCAATATCACAAAACTAATAGACCTATTGAAAGGTGACCAAATTTTAACATTGGTGAAATGGGACAAAATTGATGGGGGGAGTGGTTGTCTTGTTGAAAAAAATTGTTTTAGAGTTACAAAATTTTATTATCAAAAAATGCAAAAATTCTATTGTATTATATATTTTTTAAATTTCAACATAGTAAAATTTACAAATATAATAAATATATATATACTGTTATAAATCTTTAAAAACTCTTTATTCTTTTGCATATTTCTCAGTTGAGTTAATTTTTTTAAATAGATTGCTGTCATTGTTTAAACACTTAATTGTGATTTATCAGATGTCCACACTTTACAGTAGAAAAAAAAAACATTCAGTCATGGCATTAGTTCCTGGTAAGAACAGCACTTATTCCACAATTTTTATATTCTGCACCGTATTCTGTGCCATGTAATATGCAATGAACAAAATGTTTGCTCGTTTGGACAGCCTGTGAACATGTGCTGCTCCATTGCTACAGCTGCACGCCCCAAATCATTTTCTGTCAGTCTTTGCCATGAACACAAAGGATTTTGTCAGTGTAGCATTCTTTATTTCTGATGCTCACGCACACCTTAGTACTGATACATGTGATACAAAATGACCTTTATGAATCTTAAACACAAGACATAAGCTTATCATATATAATTGACAAAAACTTAATTTTTCCAAAACACAGGACTTTTATAAAATGCTGTGGGACGCTGGACAAATTGTTAAAAATCGGAACTGTCCCGCCAAAAGTGGGACATCTTATATTGATAACCTCGATGTAGTTCAATGTGCAATATGTATATCCCTTGTTGGCATTCTTCAATTTCAATATGATGGAAATGAATCGTCTTACTTAAATTGAAGATTGTCCCTTTGTCTAGACGACCATCTCCCAATGTGTCTTGGAGTTTTTCATTGACTTCTCACCTGGCTAATGTTCCTGAGGAGTCCAAAAAGCAAGAAAGCAAAATTGTGAATGTCCGCTAATTTATACTTTCCACTCTCCAAAAGTCGGCCTTTTCAAGTTTCCTTTGGACTAATCAGAATGCTTCACATGTGGCACCCGAAAAGAGGTGGTACCAAGGCAAAAAAAAGAAGGGATGGTTCATGCAACATATCATACAATGCAAGAACACACGATACAAAATAAAAAAAAAAAAAAACAAAACATTAAAGATATATACAAAAAAATAACAACACATAGTCGCATAGCACTACAATTGAAAAGCAATGTGTTCAAATTCCTAATTAAAGTAGCCTGATGAAGACCTCGATGAGGTTGAAAACATTTGCTAAGGTGTAAACACATACCACTGGAGCTGTAAAGGTTGTTTGAAGTGCTGAATTGAAAAGCACTTTTGTAATTTAAGATTATTTATTTTTACTTTGAAGAATGAAATTTGATGTGAAGTATTTGAAAGAAACAAAATTAAAAATTTGTATCATTGAATATCATTGAACAGAGTTACAATATAAAGTAACATCTGAATAAATTACTTAACATTTGACAGAAAATTCTGATTCATAAAGAAAAAATACGTAAAAAACAAAATACAATTAAAAATAGTAAATTTAAATTTAATCATACTGAATAGTTTTCATTATATCAGAGATATTTATCAGTATGTTCTAGTTTTAGTAATGATACTACTACTTATTTTTAACATTAAAGAAAATGTAGTAGTTTAAAAATTTTATAACTACAGTGAAACCTCGCTTAACAAGCATAATTCGTTCCAGAATCTTACTCGTAATGCGAAACACTCGCTAAGCAAAACAATTTTTCCACATATAAATTAATGTAAAATACAATAATGTATGTCCATGCCAAAAATATATACAAATATTAATATTTTGTGTATAATGCTTATTCAAAGACAATTATACATTATACATTGTTAAGGAGTGTGAATCATCTTCATCTTTTCTTCTAGCATGGAATGAACCAACCTGGAATGCAGATTATAAATTAAATAATTTGACTAGAAGTAAGCTGTTATGCTGCCATCTTGTATTAAATTTAATAATTATAAATAATTAATTTTTAATTTAAATATTTCTAAAATTTAAGTTGGAATTGGTCATTAAATTTAATACAAGATGGCAGCATAACTGTCTACTGCTATCAGATGATGTAATTTTATTACATGAAAAAATACATTATTAGTATAGTATATTAGTATATCTCATGTAATTAGTATATAATAATATCGCTATTAACCTACTTTACGTTGAATTTTCATCAATGTTAAGCCTAACAAAAATTTTTTAAAAATAATAATTGTCGCTATTGTATCATTAAAAATTAGAAAATTAAGCCTCATTTAAATACTGGCTCCTTTTCATGGTCGAGCTAGTGTTCCCAGCTAAAACACGTAAAAGTACTATTAAAGTAGCCAAGACATAGCCAAATATTGTAGCGCCACATCACTAGCAGACATTTGAAATTTGC